TGGCTAAATAATAAATTGAAGACTCTGCAGTTAGCATTCGTTGCTATTCTTTATTAAGAAGAGATAGCAAGGGCAAGAGCAAGTGAGGTGTAGCGATTTATATCGGTGATGGTTTACAATAGACGAATTGCACTAGGATACACCTACTTGCAAGAACGATTTCATACGATTTTAGAACATTAGTAATTTAGTGAGGAAGGAATACATTAGAAGCCAAAAAAAAAGTTCAGCTTCAGTGATATTCTTTTGTTTTTTAATATAATTCCTATCCCAATAAATCACCAATGTTTTATTTTCGTATGACAACGTTCTTTCAAGTAGGTGTATCTCGTTCAGCATTACTGTTACCTCATAATTCTAGTTTTATATTTTTTCCTCCACTAAGGGCTTCAAAAAGTTGACTAGAATGAAAACCTTACTAAAAAACTGTTCTTTAAATAAGTCCTTGATATTTTTTTTTTACGATTTTTTAAAGTCTACAGGTGAGCAGCACAAATGAACAACTCATCTTTCCATAGGTTTTGCAAACTTTTTTATTACTCATCACCATTGCTTTTTTATAAATAAGGAGATCCAGAAAGGAAATACTACTATCGCTTATGCATGTCATATGTGAGTTTGATAAGATCATTTTTTACTATTTGATGCATTGAGAAACTCCATGAGTGTTTCCTTAGGGCCGGCCCATATTGCAAAAATATCGTCAATAAACCGCTAATATAATACCAAATACGAAAACAAGAATCCAAAACTGATCCTCCCACGAATTTTGCAGTAAATTTATTTTTACGCAAAAAATTATCCATTTCGTATTTAGGACCCCAAACCAAGTTTATATACCAAATTTGAACAAAATACTTGAGGTTGACTGGCCAACCTATTCGAAGTTTGCTCGATCCTTACGGACTAGTACTCATAAGCCTCGTAGCCTGCCTATAATTGGTTTGTTTCACTTACTCCGACGAAGGACTAACGTCCGAAACGTCAGCTTCACAAAGCTTTTTACGATGATTCAATTCATACGCAAGTTCCTGCTGTTTCCATTGAAGTTTGATTTTATTTCGATTACATTGTTTTCACTTTATGTTTTGATTGGGTAACGTACTTCAAGTAGTCCTTGTTAAAATATCCGGCGCGTAGTAATCGTCAAATTAAGTTTCATATTGCAGAATTAGTTTTCCTTGCTATCGTTGTCTAAAGCGACATTCTATACCCTAGTTTGGCGAGCTAAACAATAAAATATGCATATTTTTATGCACAGAACTAAGACTGCTTTGTTTCGTAATTTCAATTGCTGATCCAATTGAAATGCATGACGGCGATTTCCTTCAAGATCTTGACAGATGAAAAGCCTTTGCCCCACTGTACCACATGTATAGTTAATAAGTAAATCGAAAAAGCCCAAAGGTTTTATTTTTCAAGGTAACGCTACAATTGACTCATGCTGTCGAAGCAAAGTACATTTCTGATCCCTTTCTTTCTTTTAGTAAATATTTTTTTATTTTTCTAGCTTCTTAATCCAAAATAACAAAAGGACCTACTGAAATATTTAGAAACGTAGAAAACTTGGATTATGTAAATTCACGAAACGTCTACCGTTTATATAGCAAAAAAGTATTTTATCTTGTTTAGCTCGGTGTCAGTAATAACGCCTTTTTACTCTCATTATTTAATGTTATTTTATTTTACCTTACTTCACTTCATTTCATTTTATTTCATTTTATTTCATTTTATTTCATTAATCTGAACATATCCGGCCTAATCTATTTATAGGTAGGGAATCCCTTTCGCTGCTGAGGGCGAATACTCGAACCGTGAACAATC